TCAGTGCTGCCATAACTTCCAAGTTATGGCAGCACTGAAATCTGTTACTAAGTAACTAAACTTCTATTCCTAACGTGAAACTAATTATTATTGGGTCTATGATCAATTTTATTAAAATGTGTAATAATTCAGTAAAAGAGAGCACATGTGTAAATACTCTTAAAAAAAAAAGGAGCAGCTCCAAGGCATGTAAAATGTAACAGAAAAAAAACTCATCTTAAAATGAGCTCATTATTTTTATAATTAAGTTATTACTATGTTTTCCTGTCAATACGTCCTTCAAACACAGAGGTAAAGCAATGGTTTCCATGGTTACCTGTAGCCTCCAGGTTCATCCCATGCAGTAAAAGCACAGGCCATTCATTTAGCAGCCTGCATATTATCAATATAGACTAATGATGACTCCTCAAAATTGAGGAAAATAGTAGAGAATATTCAATATTTAAATAAATATTTACAAAATCAATAAAACCTTTTTTTTTAAGTTAAACCATTCAGAGCCGATTATGTATTTAAAAGATTAATGTTTTCAGATTTTGCACATGGAAAAAAAAAAGTTTGCATAACTTTCCATGAAAGATCTCTTTTCATTAACAAATAAATACAAATATGTGTTTGTAGTATGTTACTAAAATGTTTTATAATCAGGTTAAAGCATCTTCTTAAATAAGTTGTTAAGGATTAAAAAGCAGTAAAATATTACAACTTTTTTCAAAGGGATATTTTAAGATGCACATTTAAAGGGGAAACAATAAATACGTTTTCACCAATTTGTTACATCTCTTGTGAATCCAGGTATTTTTTCTTTTCATTTTTATTTATTGGGATTCCAAAAGTATAATATTTAAACATTAAACAATTTGAAATGAAATAAAGTTTGCCAGAATTTCCAGCGAGTATATATCAGGGGTGCATCTGAGTTTGACCGCTCTGACATAAAGTCAGAGAGGCAAGGTTGAGACGGGTTGGACATGTGCGGAGGCAGGTTTGTGGACATATCGGTGAAAGGCTGTTGAGTATGAAGCTGTCATGGAGAAGGGAAAGAAAAAGAAACACATAAAATGCTGCATGGATGTTGTGAAGGAGGATATTCCAAGGATTGGTGTGATAGAGAAGGACCTGAGAGAGCAGCTTAAACAATCAAAAGAATTTGCAAGGATTGCTGATATATTTTCCATGTTTGAATAATGAAATAAATGTCAAATGAGATACTACAGTGGAGGTTAACCTGAAGTGCCCAAAAAAACAAACAAATATAAAAGCTCCTTCCATGCATGGAATAGAAAAGCATGCAGCGCATTTATATATCAGGACTCTTGCATCCAGTTCAAGTGAACACATGACTCACTGCCCTCTGGGCCACGTTTGTATTTTCCAAAGTTGCAGATAAAATGATGCTTATTTAAAAGGACTAGTTATTGCTCTCCGATGTTTAGTCTTACAGAACCTATTTCCATTTGCAGCCGCCACTATTTACTCTCCGAGTTGCTCCGTCAGTACGAGCAGCAGGCCACGAGAGGAGACTCTGGACCGTTAGCAGCATCTGCCTGGAGGACTCGCTTTAACAGGAAGAGAATAGCTTGTGATATTCTAGCAAAATAAGTAAATGTTTAGGGCAACCAGCTTTGACAAAAAGGTAAACCGTTCTGCTTACTCCAGCTCTGCATTTTGGAAAATATTATGCATTGACCAAACAACACAAATTCTGACCAGATTAGTATAATTTTTAGCACTTCAAATTGGGGATTACATAATCCTATATAACATTTTGGTTAATACAAGCTTTGATGCCTCATTAAATAATAAAGGCAAGAAAACTAATCAGCTTTTCATGTTTTTTCTTGCTGTCTTTTTTTTTCTACACGTTTCTCTACAAAAAACCAAAAGCAAAAGAATAATCAAAACACGCAAGAGATTAACTACGTCTGTCTTCAGGTTATTGTGCAACATGAACACCTAATTACATAAAATTAGCTGAAATAAATCATATATTTTGACCGATTTAAAGTATTTTTTAAGAACTTTATTTAATGAAACATAATCTACAAAAATTCTCAATCTCATATAAACCTTAAATCATTGATTTCTATGGTGGCCCCACTTGGTATCGAAGATACGTAAGTAATTACTGGGTTTTGAGGTCCTCCACAGAAAGTCAACTAAATATGTGAATATGATAATAATGAAGCATATTTCTGTATTTAAAGAAATGGGAAACCCAATTAGATGCACAAAAAAAAACAAAAAAAAAACAAATGTATTATTTTCTATGTTGCTTTTATTAACATTATACCTCTGCTTAATAGATTTTTCCACCAACACTTTGGGTCATGGGCAAATTTAGGTAACATTTGGGGAGTTTGAAACCGAAAAGTTTGGGCAAACTCTGCCTTTAAGTACTCTCCAAAGACTTTTATCCAATCAAACATTTCAAGTAAAACAGTTTATATCAGTTTAATAAATGATTCCAGAGTTTAGAATCTGAAAAATTTAGGTTTAGGTTTAAGTTTTTTTTGTTTTGTTTTTTTAATTAAATATATCAAAACTAAAAAATTCCAACAGTTCTCAGTCTTTCAGATCCTTTTAACTTTTGAAAAATAATAGGTATAACAGTGATATTCATTATTTCTTTTTGATAAAATTTCCTCTTTCATAGCAACTGTGTTATTCTTATAGGAGACAGATCTGAGGTCACATTCAGTAATCCTCACACAAAGACTTTGGCACATTAGATAAAAAAAAAACAACTTTCTAATTAAAATTGAATTAGATGGAGCTCTTCCATCAATCACACAAGTAAAAATAACAAGGATTTAAACACAGAAATTAATTGCAACTAATTTTAGATCATTGGGTCATATATCTTGTTTAATTTTATTAATTCCTTCCCAGTGCATACACTGATCAATCGCTAGCATTTGCTTTGATAAACCTTTTTTAATTTAATACAAGACTAATGCAACGCTTTGAGGCGCTGATTAGACACTCTTTAAACATCTGAAAAAAAATCGAAGAAGACTAACTTTGAGTAATTCACTAGTTATTTGGGCTTTATTTTTAACAGCATTGTGTGTATTCTTTTCTAAATAACTCGCTTCCCCAAAAGTGTTTAACACTGATCTGTTCCTCAAAGAATTTAGCAAAGATCAAGAATAAAAGGCCAGCCATGAAAAACAGACACACGCTTATGCTCATCACGTTTACTCCACTAGATTCAGAGTAAACACTAATGAACCCGGCATGTCTAAGTCAAGCTCCAAGAAATCCATCAAACACACTTTTTTTTAACTCTATCTGGATGAAAGTATTACTTTGAGGGGTGAAGGGGTGGGGGGGCATATCGCAATGCTTAGCAATCCTAATCCACACCACACTTGCAAGAGGTTTCATCACCAACATTTCCTCCTTATTCCAAAAAAAAAAAAAAAAATAGGGAGGGCAGAAAAAGAAATATATTGATCTTTTCCCTTCCTTCCTCCAAGGCATTTCTATTTCCCTGTGCAGCTTAAGCAGCACTTTTGTGGACAAATCCTGCATTTGTGTTCCTTTCTGGAGGCTAATAATTGTCCTGAATAGGCGTAACGACTCCCAAAGCGCAGCTGAGTTGGCTGTGCAGTGGTGTTGGTGGCCAGACTGTACCTCTATGCAGAGCTAAGTCTTGCTTCGTGTTTCATCAACCTCACATATCCTCTTCCACTCTCCGCTGCCTGCCCAGTTCGAGCATCGCCACTGGGTATGGGTTGTGCACTCAGTTCACCTCTACAATACCTCGCTTTATTTTTTTTCCCCCTCACAAGCTCAACAAAAAGGGAAATAAATCTAAGCCTCCATCAGACACTTATATGGACATCATCTTTCCTCGTTACCTGTAGGGAGAGACAGGGCAAGGGGCATTACATTTTATTGCAAAGCCAAGCTTCTGATGTAGGGTTGCCCTGTCTGCTAAACACACTTCAATGCGCTCCCCCTGCCCCCCTTTCTTTTCTTTTTTTTCTTGCATGAACGGAGATGATGAAATAAGTTGGATATTGGAGCAAGAACGGGGAACTTGTATGTGTTTTAGCCCTCTCTATGTGTGCTCAACAGTTTCCAAGGTGACTTTTCAAATTGCACAGAGACTATGCATGGATAATTCATTACCTGCAACCCTCTATAAGCTCTAATAGGCAGCAAATTTCATCATGTCACACTCAGGGAAACAAGAGCATCTGTCATCCCAAAATTAGTGCAATTAGGATTTGCAAACATTTAAAATAAATCATAAGGGAGGCACATCTATTTGCATCATGTCTATTTTATTAATAGACACATTCACTTTGAAGTGGGTTTTTAGAATAAATCATTAAAAAAAAATCCATTTATTTAAACATCCCACATAATAATATTTGCTTATTGTGCAATATCAAAATCACTTTGTATAAATGCGTTTGTTGCTTTACTGCAATAAAAATCCACATTTCTCAGTGGAATGTCGATAAAGCTATTGATAGATTGCATGATGGGTCATCACCTGATGCTGATCGCATGATGGCCATCATGATGAGAGATCAGCAACAAGATCTCCATCCTCCTCCTCCTGCTACAAATAACGACGGGCTCTGTGATAAACATCGACCCTCATCTGGCGAGGAGACCTTTGTCCGGTGGTGCCATGTTTCTAGGTGGATTCTGACTGAGAGAGCGCCTAAATACATCATTGTGATGATTCAGCATGATAAATATAAATGCATATCGCTGCTTTGATAGTTTGGTTTTTGAGGAGGAGAGATTCAGAACAGATTATTTGGGATTTGCTGTTGCAGATTTTAATAAGTGATTAAAATGAATCAGATTGGCAATCCAGGTGAAGCAATTCAATACAACAACAAAAAAGGGGATGGTGGAAGATCAAATCAATGCATGCACAAAAGACGCACAAAAGCGACATTATGATCGCACATCTAATAACTGCACAAAGAAATAAAATAAAAATGTCATTAAAAGGACACGCTGCAACCAACCTGATCTGGCTGCACCGCTGATTCGGCTCGGCTTCTTCGCACAACGAGGTGATGAAGCAGCAGGTTTGAGCAGCGAGAAGCGCATGAGTTGACAAACCCCACGGAGAGGCGCGCGGACACGGCGGACCGGGCGTAATAACAAACTAATTACGAGCAAAAACCTGCGCAGGTTACACGCTGGTTAAGATCTCCTGACATTCCGCGACTCAACCCTTCGGCGCCCTGCTTGTGCGAAAGTGGCAAACAACTCCCCGCCTACAAAAACAAGCGAGCGAGCGAGGAAATCCCCGAGCCTCTGCCTGCACGTTACCACCGTGGCGCCGCGTGCCATTCCTAGATGGAAGGGAAGCAGCCCGCCAGATGCGGAACGACCGAAAACAACATCTGGGCTTTCATGTTTTTAACGTTTACGAGTGTACAAAAGATTTAGCCCACCAGTCACAGCAAAGCCTTCGCCCTCTAAACATGCCAGGTTTCCATTTTCAAAATAAAACTCTACTCAGCAGGTTACATTGTGTTTAAAAAGCTGGAGTAAATCGGATATTTTATTTTGAAAATCCGCTCCGAGGAGCTAAGGAGGTTAGCTTGACGAGCTAGCTGTGCTAACACATCTCTGCACACTCAGCACAACAAGAGCTTTCAGGACCCACCTGAATTTAAAACGATGAAATCAGAGCTGCTGGACTCCTCTTCTCAAGCCTCGGTGAGGGAAACCGAGCATTACAGATAAATAGGAATTTGGTTTAAGCAAGTAAAAAAAAAAAACAAAAGCAGCGATTTCCAGATATCAGCTCATGCCCTCCTTGTCACTGATTGCTTTCTTGTATCGGAGCCTGACGTCATCGTGTTTGGTCACGTGCCTTCATTCATGAAAGGTATAGTTTCCTCAAAAGAACACAAAACATCTAAATATTTTAAAACACTTAACACGTATGGTTATATGAACAAGGTTAGTTTTCATCGGCAACCTCTACTTTATAAAATTAAGACATTAAAATTTATTATTTTTCTTAAAAATTCCATTTAAATTAATTTTCTTAAAAATTCCATCTTATAATTTCATCACCAAATCGAAACATATGTTTTAAAAATAGATTTGAAATAGATTCGTAACCAAAACTTATTGTACTGTTTTTTAATTAACAGTAAAACTTAAAAAGTAAATTAACTGACTTCCTGTAACAGTTTGTTATACTTAAACACACAGACATAGAAGATTTAAAACTAAAGGGGAAAAAATTCCCATTCAGTCATTTCAAACTGATCACTGAAGTAGAAAACATTCAATATTTTTGTCCACATTGAAAAGGGTGGTGTGAATTACCCAGTTTATCTCTTTAATTAAAATAAAACACAACCAATGGCTTGAAGAATCAGTAAGTAGTTTGTGTTTCAAAGATTTTGTGGTTTTTGGAGTACATCTGGAAATTATTTGTGCAAAATACCTCAAACCTCTTTCGATTAGGTGGCAGGAACAAAAAATAAGCCTTTTACAACTCATTTGTGCTTTATAAAACTTTCCTTTTTAATAAAACTTATAGTTACCTCTATGGTTATGCTGCTATAGGCTTAGACTTCTGGAGGACATAGGGACCACTATTTCATCATTCCGCTTCATTCTATCTCCATTCTCCCACTCTGCAGAATCTGTTAGTTCAAACTCTAACGTTATGCTCTCTCTGCCTTTTCTCATAGAAGCTTGGCCTCATCTGTTCCTGTTTGGCTCTGGCACCACCCTGGAGAGAAATATCAGCTGTTCTGCTTCCATCAACACCTCTGTTCATAGATGTTGGAGATCGGCCTGTTTTTCCAGTGTCCTGTTTCTCTGACTGTGACTGGCTGGATATGCTCTCTTTATCCTCTGACATGGGAGTTGGCTGAATTGAACTGAATTTTCTAAATCACATTTTAGCTTCATCTTTATGTTAAGTTTGGAATATGAACTTCCTTCTAAATCCCATGTCTTCTGTAGCCATAAAGAGTTTTTTTCCCCCCCAGGATTAACTTGTATTTAGCACCCTTTTTAAATATAAGAACAATCTTGGTAGAGCAAAAATATTTACTTTACAAAGTGAATATTTGCTGATACATTTCACAAGAAAGATGTATATTATATGAAATTAAAAAAAAAAAAGTTTCCCCACCAAATGTTGACTTTATTTTACTACAGAGGAAACAAATGAAAAAATCCCCACAAAAGTTATTGCTCACATATTTTGCCTGTAGTCTTGGCATAAATCCGCTTTTATTTCCCTTAAGTGAGAACTTAACAGTATTCTATGACACGTTTATTTTCTTAAACAGTGTTTTTTAATGACTGTTCATACAATGCTGCAAAGGGGCCCTTTTAAAATGGATTCAGTTCTTCTTGATCTTAGGATTAGAGTTGTTAAAGATACTGATCCCACGATTTCTGACACTGACAGTTTCTGCAGTGACTCCTGGCTGCTGAAGAACTTTATCCAGGGTGGTTTTCTTGATGGCAGCTGAAGAGATCTTCTCTTGGTCAGCCAAAAACTGAAGTTCCCTTTTAAAAGATATGAAATAGCTTTAAATAATGTATGAGATCAGTCAACTGAAAAACAGGAAAACATAAACTAATGTTTGAAATACATCAGCATATAGCTCCATCTGCTGTCCGAAGTTCATTTTACATCACAAGTAATTAATTAATAATTGCATTTTTGGTACATGCATGTGATTGGAAAAAAAAATTGAAATAGTTTCTGATACCCATGAGTCTCATCAACCTACCTCGTTCTTACACAAGAGGCCTCTACAGCATTTATGAGGAGGCTTCGAAAGCCACCGCTTTCCATGACATGAAGGGCATGGATGGTGGCGCCCCCTGGTGAGCAAACGTTGTCTTTAAGCTGCCCAGGGTGTTGCTCTGAGTCAAGCAGCATTCGAGCTGCACCCTTTAAAATAACAGAAAAAAATAAGAATATGATATTAAAAAAACAAGCTTTAAATTTGTCTGCTGTAAGCAAAGACAGGCTAAAAATGCACACTGGAAATAAAAACTGCAAAAAATGGTCTTTTTCATACCCAGTAAATACACATGTACTGCTTCCATTGCAATAGAGACAGAAGTGAAAGCCCACAGTGACTTGTAAACTATTTCTAGTTTAATTCCCTTTATGCACACATTTTATATTTTAACAAATGGCTCCTCAGCTCAGAGGTATATTTAGGGCGACTGCCTTGCTGAGGGGTCAACCTTAGCCACATTACTAAGTCTTCTGCATCTTTTATAAAGGCTTTCTTCTAGGATAATCTGTATTTAATGACAACCGTCTTCCCATACACAAATATCATCCAGGTCCATGCTGAACAAAGGTATCCCCACAGAATAATGCAGCCACCACCATGCTTCCCTGTGGTGATTGTCTGCTCAGAGTAATATGCATCTAGCTTTACAACAAAAAGGGATTTTCCATGTATAGCCCATGCTGCTTCATCTGAGCTAAGCATTTACTTGTGGAAAACTTTCAGCAGAAACTTTTCAGACTTTCTATTAAAAATGGCTTTTCTTTCAATAACTGGATAAATCCCAAATGTGCACAACTTCATATGTTGATTCCCCCTCTGGAGCTGTGGGATACTGCAGCTCCTCCAGTGCAACAGCCTGCTACCCATTCCTCAGATTATTTTTCACTGTCCAGCCAATCAGTATTGGTGTGTCTTGGTAGATCCGAAGCTGTTTTCATTTTTCAATTGAACAGTGCTCAATAAGAGGACCAAATTATTGGTTATTGTTTTATTAGATAATTCTGATCCCTCTTGCTCTTTGATTCTGTTTGTTTAGAACAAGTCTCAGAGGCCTTCATAGAAGAGACAAAATAGATTAAATTACATATTAAAGAAATATTTAGAAGCATTACATCTGAAGGCAGTTGGTGAGACTGATTTTATTTAGGGTAGCATAGTAAAGGGTGCTAAAAAACGCATGGAAACCGCTAATTTCATAATTTCATTCAGAAATAAACTATTTTCTATTTTTCAATTATGTAATGCCTTATGTTGTTATGGTCTATAAACAGTCAATAAAATACATTGAATGTTTCGGTAAAACACTTACAAGTTGCTAAAAATCGAAGCGGTATGAACACTTTTAGAAGATACTATGATCCAACGTTTTATCTCAGTAGAAAACATTAAGTAATTCTCATATACTTTAGGCATTATTCACAGTAACAAAACTAAGATATGAGGTTGGCCCTATAGAGCACATCATTTATAGGATTTATAAAATCTGAGAGCCAAATCTTTAAAAATAGAGTTTAATAATAAATGGAATGATAGAAAAAAAAAAACATGTTTACGAGCATTTCCTCATGTAGCAAAGTATAGATAAGATTGGTGTTGAGCAGGTGTATTTTGTTATCATAACTATAATGGGTTTTAGTGTCACGTCTGGCGTCCTACCAGCAGGGCTTGTGCTCCGAGGCGTACAGCCAGCCTCCTCGGCAGGCCCATTTTTACTCCACCATCAGCAAGTGCGTCCACAGCTAGGAATGCCTGCAAGATCGCAAGTATAACAACAGTTATAAGGCGATTTTGCCAATATCAAAGTATTTTTTTAGATGAACTGGAGGCTGTAAAGCAGAATGAGCTCACATAGGCAGGTCCACTGCCACTCAGGCCTGTGACAGCATCAATCAGGTCCTCCTCCACCTCAGTGCAGTAACCAACACTCGCCATCAGCTGTTCCAGAAGCTTCCCATCCTCCACCTCTGCATGTGTACCTGTGGCGTAGACGGTGGCTCCTTCCCGCACCACCACCGGAGTGTTGGTCATGCAGCGCATTACTTTTGGAGAACTCCGGTATTGCTGCAGTTTCTGTAAACCAACAACAGAATTGTCAAGAACTAATTATTATTAACTCATTATGAGTAAGGGGGGGAAAAATGCCACAACTGTGACTTTCCTTCTCTATGGAGCTGATAGTAACACCTGCAGCACATGAAACAATTAGGTGGCGATCTTCAATATCTGGCCCGATCTCATCAAGAACAAAAGGGATGATGTGGGGTTTGACAGCCAGGAAAAGGACGTCACTTTTGTTCACTGTCTCCTTGTTGCTGGTGGTGAAGTTCACACCCATCTTCTACACAAGTCAAAAACAGGAAAGCTTAAGCATTTGTACATAAAGAACTTTTATAAGTTTACAAAAGCAAATGAAAACGCACAGTTGTGGTCAGAACCCTAATATACACTCATCATTAGCAAAAGTATTATATTTATAGGGCAAGTTACCATTTTTGATCGCTTGCATACCCCTTACAAATGGATCCCCCCCGTCCCTCAGTGAGGTCTAGAAGCACAAGATCTATATCCAGCCATTCAGCAAAAGATGCTGCTACATTGCTGTACATCTCATTTTGGCATTTGACCTATTAGATGAGCCCTTGAATGATATATTACCTACTGTAAATTAAGTTGAAAAAAAGAAAAAGCTAATTGAAAAGTAAAAAAAGTTAATAAGCCTGGTTAACAATTATATTTAG